GTATAATCTTGTTTATCTATTCCACACATGCCTGTCAGTATCTACAAATTTTGAAATCCCAGTCTGACCCTTCCCACCCCTCACCCCCTTGGCAATGAAAAGTTTGTACTCTTATGTCTATGAGTCTGTTTCTGTTTTGTATTTATGTTCTTTCATTTTTAAATTTGTTTTAGATTCCACATATGAGCAATCTCATATGGTGTTTTTCTTTCTCTTTCTGGCTTCTCTTAGAATGACATTCTCCAGGAACATCCACATTGTTGCAAATGGCATTATGTTGTCGGTTTTTGTGGCTGAATAGTATTCCATTGTATAAATATACCACTTCTTCTTTATCCAATCATCTGTTGATGGACATTTAGGCTGTTTCCATGTCTTGGCTATTGTAAATAGTAAACTGTAAATAGAACATTGGGGTGCAGGTGTCTTTTTGAAGTAGGGTTCCTTCTGGATATGTCCAGGAGCGGGATTCCTGGGTCATATGGTAAGTCTATATTCCTAGTCTTTTGAGGAATTTCCATACTGTTTTCCACAGTTGCTGCACCAAACTGCATTCCCACCAGCAGTGTAGGAGGGTTCCCTTTTCTCCACAGCCTCTCCAGCATTTGTCATTTGTGGACTTTTGAATGATGGCCATTCTGGCTGATGTGAGGTGATACCTCACTGTAGTTTTGGTTTGCATTTCTCTGATAATTAGTGATATTGAGCATTTTTTCGTGTGCCTATTGATCATTTGCATGTCTTCCTTGGAGAATTGCTTGTTTAGGTCTCCTGCCCATTTTTGGATTGGGTTGTTTGTTTTTTTCTTATTAAGTTGTATGAGCTGCTTATATATTCTGGAGATCAAGCCTTTGTCGGTTTCATCGTTTGCAAAAATTTTCTCCCATTCCGTAGGTCATCGTTTCATTTTACTTATGGTTTCCTTTGCTGTGCATTTCTCTAATCATCCTTTGCATTTCTCTAATCATTAATGATGTGGAGCATCTTTTCCTGTGCTCGTTGGCCACCTGTATGTCTTCTTTGGAGAAATGTTTATTTCTTTCTTGAAAGATGTGTGCTACTCTACCATTTCAGACCAGGATGGTATATCATTCAGAGAGTAGGATTGTACCATCCTGTCAGAGGCCTCTGCTCCTTTAACCCCAGGCCATGGATGACAAGTAGGTATCCTGATAAACCCCTCTCTATGGCTGTATTCATGAGCATTTGATAGTAATAAATTATCTTTCCCACATATACATTTGTTTGTTAATAGGATTCACATGGTGATCTAGTAGATGAGTAAAAGTGCTACAATAGTGAGATTTGGACTCTCTTAAGCAGCCAGAGGGACCTTCCAGTTCCTTTCAAAACCATCTGTGGAAGCAGTCACGTGTGTGATCACCATAAAGAGCTGGTTTTATCATGGACAAAGCCACATCCTCAACTTGTACATGTTTCTTTTTCTCGTGCAGAAACATGAGGTCATTCCGGCCTGGGACAGACTGCCCAAGAGAAGAGGGAAGATGGACAGATAAGTGATTGAAAATCTGACTTGCCTTTCATATCAAAAGAAGACTTCACCTTCTGGAAACAAGGAACTCTTTGTGGTACGGCAGTGGGACTGTTGGTGGGATGGAACCATCTCCTGGAATGGGTAAGAGCTCTGTTACATTCACCTGGCCTCCTAGTTGCCTCTTCAGCATCACCTCCTTTCCTCACCAGCTGTGCCCTTCAGGTTCCAGCCATCACCTCCATTTCCCCCAGTGGCATCTATCTGCCTGTTGCCTCCAGGTCTGTAGACATTCTCTCTTCCTGCCTCTTCACCTGGAAACCTCTCAGTCATAGTCTAGGTCTCAACTTCTCTTCTCTCTGCTTAACAGACTATTTCTAACCCAGTGGTCCTCAGAGCATGGTCCCCAAGCCAGCAACACTGACACGTGTGAGAGCTTATTAGAAATGCAAATTTGTGTGCACCTGTCTTGCTTATCCCTTTGAGAGCACACAGACAAATAACCATGCAGTTACCTACCATTCATTGTGAGGTCTTACCCATCAGACCCATGTCCTTCAGAGCAGAGAATGTGCCTATTGTTGCCTGTATCCTTTGTGCCCAGGTAGTGTTACTGTGGGAGGGTCCGAGCCTGACTGACTCCCTGATGGGGAGCTCAGTAAGCATCTATTGAATGAATCAGTGATTTGCAAGTGAATAGGAGGCAGAATCATAAGGTGGTCAAATTTCCAAGCTCTGTAGCCAGACTACCTGAGAGCAAATCCTGGCTCCTGCATTCCTGGTTGTGTGTTTGTAGACAGTCCCTCAGTCTCTATGCTTGCTGGCAAAACAGGTAATGGCCCAATTTCATAGGCTTGGCATGTGGATTTGATGCATTAATGCTGGTAAGTATGTTGAACAATGCATGGCATCTAGTAAGCACCCATTATTCTGAATATTAAAAAGGACTTTTTGATGTATTCCTGTTGCCAGAAGGATTTCGTTGGATTTCCCCAAAAGATACTTGGAATTAGAATCTGGAATATACATATATATATGTACGTACACACACACACACACACACACATATACATACACACACATACAGACAGTCTATGACTTACGATGCTTCGACACAGGATTTTTCAACATTACAATGATGTGAAGGTAATGTGAATTCAGTAGAAGCTATATGTTGAATTCTGCATTTTGGTCTTTCCCTGGGCTAGTGATATGCACGGCGATGCTCTCTTGTGATGCTGGGCTGCGGCAGCCACCGCTCACAGGCAGCCCCGGCCAACAACCAGTGTACTTCCAACCATTCGGTACCCAGACAGCCGTCCTGTTTTTCACTCTCAGTACACTATTCACTAAATTACATGAGAGACTCAACACTTCATTGTAAAACAGGCTTTGTGCTAGACAGTTTTGCCCAGCTGTGGGCTAGTCTAAGTGTTCTGAGCATGTTGAAGGCAGATGGGGCTAAGCTATGAGGTTTGGTAGGGTAGGGGCACCAGATACATTTCAATTTATGATGGTCTCAACTTTCAGTGAATTTATGGGGACATAACTCCATCATAAATTGAGGAAGAGCTATGTATATAATCTCCTGATTCTCTTTCTTGGAACTTTGCAACACAGTGTCTGGAGGAGAACTTCATTTGGTGATGTTGCTTTCTGCCCAGTTAACAGTGTTTATAAGTTGGGAGCAGTGTTAAGGGGCGCAGGGATTTGCTGGAGTCTCTCTCTTGCCTCCTCCTTCTCATCCCTCCTTTAGCTCAGCCTCCTTTTCTCTTTCTTTTCCCTCCTGTTTCCTGTTTCCCAGATTTCTCCTTTTCTTCCTTCTCTCTCCTCTTTCTGCCCACCATGCCTCTCCTCCCCCCCGCTGGTGACTTCCTCCTTTCTCTTCCTCTCTCTCCCCAATGCTTCATCAGACAGACAGCTGGTTTCTGCCAAAACTCTGACATGCCACAGAGTCTGAGATAGCCAAGATTTATAAATGACTCTTAACTGCTCATGGTTTTTAGCCCAAATGAACCTTCTAAGCAAGCATGTTCCTAAAGGAAAAGAAACATTAATGTATATGAAGTCCTCAGAGTGACTTTTTCACCATAACTGAAACTGAGCTTCTTTCCTGTGCTTTCTGTGAAGAGCATCTTGTTCTGAACTGTCCCCAAAGCCAAGGCAGGAGGGGCCACCGGGGACCACTTGGGTGTGCCCAGTGTCGCAGCCTGCCCGCCCTTTAGCTGGCTGGCACACAGAGCAGGCAGACTGCAGCTCCGTGTGGCTGCTGCCTGGCATCGGGCACTTCCCTCACCCCTGCAGCCTGGAGGGTCCTCTGATGGAAAGAGTCTGTGATCTCCCTGTGTTCAGAGTCTGGGTCTGCCCCTCATAAGATGATTCTGATGTTTGGTGGGTGGCTGGACCAGATGACCTCAGAGATTCCTTCAAAGTGGAAATTCTGTGATTCTGTTCATTCTTGGCCTCCAAACTCTTGCTGGAGGGAACTGGAATTCTGCGATCCCACGACCTAACCCCTCTAACCATGGGGGCCTTTCTCAATGGTCAGCATCCCCTTGGCCCTCTGGCAGTCAGACTCATCTCCTCTGGGTTCCACCTTAGCCCAGGCTGCTTTCTCAAGTAGAAACACTAAGTCAGATATCTCCCTCTGAAGTGGCTGAGAAGATGGGGCATTGCCCACGTGGGTCAGCTGATGATGGTGTATTGGCTGAGAAGGGGTGTGGCGCCATACAGGAAGGAAGTGATGGTGACAATGGACCGCACCATTCCTTGCCTCCCCTCTCAGTAGAAAAGCCCTCTTCTCCTCCCTGGGTGCATCCACCTCCCCTTTTAAAAGCCAGACCAGATTTGTACCCCCTTCTCTCTCCCAGCCAAACAGGTGACTCCTGCCAGGGCAGGAAGAAAAAACAGGTTATTGTCTGCTTCTACCTCCGGCTCCCCTTCATTTCATTGAGCTCACGCGTTCCCTCTTCATGTCACTGAAAATGTTATTTATCGATCCTGCTGACAGCGGCAGTAAATAGAGCCCGGGCTGTTTTACATCGCTGATGAGAAGGCAGGCTCCATAACTCATCAGGCCCAATCTGATTCCACATCAGTCCTCTTCCACTTTTTTTCTCTTCTGTATCTCATTACAGAAACAGGAATTAATACACATGGACAGAAGAGAAATAAGTTCAGCTGCTCTTAGGGCTTTTGTGGGAAAGCCAGCATCCTCCGTAGCTCCTTAAGGAAAACTGACGGAGGGTCAGCCCAGTTGCTGTCTATGGGCACGCCCTCATCCTCACTGAGGACCGTTAGTTGTGCCCTGATAATAGACTGTGCGGTCATCACACATGTGGGCGGGAGCTGAGATTTGGAGATCACTGTAGAGATAGCCCCCAACCATTCTTCTGAATCTTGGTGCACAGGGCCAGGTGCCCTGAACTGTGTAAGAGAAAATTGTGCATTTTCCTGCCTGTTTTACTTTAGATTTAAGGAGTAACTGTACATATATTTTTTTGATTTAAATAAAATGTATCTTTAGAAAAATTTTAGATACACAGGAAGATTGTGCAGAATATAGAGTTCCCATCTACCCCTTCTAATACATTTCGTATTAGTGTAGTACATTTGTTACAATTGATGAAGCAACACTGATACATAATTATTAACTAAAATCCATAATCAACATTAGGGTCACTTTTTGTGTTGTGTTGTTTGTTGAGTTTTTTTAACTTTTTTTTATTGAGTTATATATAGTATTTTACAATGTTTTGTCAATTTCCAGTGTAGAGCACAATTATTTCAGTTATATGTGAAAATACATATATTCATTTTTTTTCACTGTGAGCTACCACAAGATCTTGTATATGTTGAGTTTTGACAAATGCAAATCAAATAACCACCATTAAAGAATAGTTTCACTGCTCCCCAAATTCTGATTTCTGCCTATTCAGTTTTCCCTTCCACCCCCAAAACCTTAGTAACCACTGATCTTTTTACTGTTGTTTTCCAGATTGTTGTATAGTTGAGATAAGAAATTCTGTAGCCTTTTTAGAATGGCTTCTTTCACTTAGCAATGTGCATTTAAGGTCCCTCCATGTCTTTCTGTGGCTTGATAGCTCTTTTCTTGTTTAGCTCAAAAATGACTTTATTTTTGTTTTTTAAGTGAAGTGTAGTTGATTTACAGTGTTAGTTTCAGGTGTACAGCAAAGTGATTCAGTTATACATATACGTAAACTTTTTTTTCAGATTCTTTTCCATTATAAGTTATTATAAGAAACTGAATATATTTCCCTGTGCTATACAGTAGGTCTTTGTTGTTTATCTGTATTATATATATTAGGGTGTATCTGGTAATACCATACGAAAGGAGTATATGTAGGTTAAAACAAACCCATATATTTTAATGTGAGGTTGTCTCACGGGAAACTTCAGAGAAATCTCACCTCTTGCAGCTGTGCTTCAGACCTCGGGGACGATCACTTGACTCCAGCTTTGGGGGGTTCTCAAATAAAATACTTTCAGAAGTGAGTACATCTATTTATCTTACCCTACTCTTCTGAAAGCATCATCCTTAAAGTGAGACCTCGCTTGTGTTCACCCCACAGCAATAGACAGTGAGTCTACACTGAGAGGCGGGGCATCCATGCTGGATGGAGGATGGGAAACCTGAGATTCTTTTCCAGGCCCATCCCTTTGCTTCTGGACTTCACATTGCTCCGTCTTCCCCAAAACTCACCCTATTAAACGAGGGTGGTGGTATCTGCCTGCCTAGCTCCTTGTGAGCATTAACTGAGACAAAGAGGGGACCTTTGCTTGTCAGTGTTCCTGTTAATGGGATTTTTCTGCAGTAATAAAGTGTAGAATCAGCACTGATTTCTGATGGCAGGTACGCCATCATCACAGGGACATGTGAAAAGACTGCACGTTATTAACTGGCCACCAAGTAAAACACAATTTTTATCATTATTGAGCACCTGCTAGCTGAATTAAGACCGGGCGTGGAGAATACTAAGTGTGACTACAAGATGACTGATCCAAGGAACTCCATGTCTAGCTGAGAAAACTAGACTCATGTCACCAATGGGGGAAAACTAGCAAGCAAGAGGGAGAATGTCTAGGTGGGCTATGTGTTCAGACTTTATAATAAAGAACAGGACAATCCCAGTGAATGTTTCCGGAGGGCTGGTGTATGCTGGGCATGGTCGTAAGGGCTGTCCCTGTAGTTGCCACCTCTAAACCTAACAGTTAACCTCCAGAGTTTATCTCCATTTATGACTGAAGAATTAAGACGTAATGAGATGAACAGTATTGCCCACGATCCTGTAGTATCTGCGTAAGATGTGTTTTGACTTCAAAGCCTCTGAGTAAAAGGCTTTCCCGGGGGCTGTGATCATGTGAGGGACATAGGGAAAGAAAATTGCCAAGAAAGCCCAATTTTCTTCCCTGGTCATCCCATGAGCACTAGGGATCCTGGACCCTTCACTGTGCCTTAGTTTCTTCATTCACAAAATGAAGGGACGGATGTAGATGATCTCAGTTCTGAGACTCTAGACATGCTTGGGTGGATTCAACCCGTCTACAAAAGCTTCTGATAGGTTTTGAAGTTTTCATTCTGAATGGAATGGAAAAGGGCATAATACAGCCCTAAAGTAGGCCTCTTTATCTCTCAGGAGATGATGCCTTTTATTTTGGAAAAATAACGATAGAAAAAAAACTCCACAACTCATCTGCTGGTTTGAAACAAATGTGAATGTGTGTGTGTGTGTATGTGCAATATATATGCACATATATATTCAAATATAAAATATTTGTTTATATGTAATATCTATGGTATATACACACATAAGTATGTATATGCATATAAACATTTATCATTATTATCATTTCAGTCTTTATTAACTTGCCTGAATTTTAGGCTGAGTCTCCCTCTCCTATACTTGGAGCTTGGAGCTCTAAGTATTGAGACATCTGAAAAATCTCAGCTTTCCTCCTTTATTTGCCATCTTTAGAAGTTGCTGCTGCTTGTTTTCTAGCTATTTCATACTTTCTAACTTTGCTTAAAAGCATTTCTAATTCCTCACATTGAAAAGCGGGTTGCAAATGAAGTTTAACATGGAATGTTTTGTACCAAGAAAACTAATGCCCCATTCCCCCCCACCTCAGTGAATGCCAAAGTCATCACAGACTCGAGGCTCATGAATAATGTATATTGTCCAATTAAGTGCAAATGCTGTTCAGTTCTTGCGACTGGTATGTGATGCCAGTTCTGGCCGTAGAATGGGCATGGAGGGCAGGATGGGCGAAGGGGACTGGGGAGGGTTGTGGCTGTGTGCATGTGTGTGTGACAGCTCAGCCCCACAACTTGTAGCGTGCTCATTACGTCCTGGGAGCTAAACTTCCCATCCTCGAGTCTACAGAGAGATGCTTTTTCCCAACCATAAATAGAACTCATCTTAAATTTCTAAGTCCCCAGTTTCTAAAAGCCTGGAAGCTCTTGCCCGGTCATGTCGTTCTCTGCCTATGAAACTATCCACTGTGACTGGCCAGCAGACCCCTCTGCCCAAGCTGAACTGCTTCAGAAGGTCAACTTCTGGAGGCCTCCTTTGCAAGGAAGCTACAGCAGTGACTCTTTGGGTAGCTCAGCTTATTCTTCTGGCCTCCTGATCAAGATGTCCTTCACCAAGAGATCCTAGCAGCCTTTTGAAGTTGCTGAATTGGGTGTGTTCTTGATCTTCCATGGCCAAAAACACAGAGCCAGGAAGACATGACATCAGGTCCCGATTCCACACCCCTAGTAGAGGTGGCCACGTCACGTACCTGAGCCTCAGCTTCCTCGTCAGAAATAGAAGGTGGTAAATAACACCTGCTGTGTCCCCGGTGGGCGTGCAGACTAACAGTGGCGCTACCCCTACATCCTGAAGGCAGGTCCAAGTGTCTGTAACTACCCTCTTTGCTTGGAGTGTATAGACGTCCTCACTTACAACTTTGTGACTGGACCATGGCAAATCTCCAGGACTCGGGCTGGCCCAAGCCTGATTAGTGTTGTTCATAGAAATATTCATCCATCAGGGTCTGCATTGGTAGCATTTTAGGTGTGCCCAAGTAACAGAGCCAGCCATTATTAAACCATCTAATAATGAATGCTGGAGACAGAGTTTTTTTCAGCGTAAAATCTCTTCTTATAACTCAGGGCTGATGAGTGCTACCCTACCTTTCTCGATGGGTCCAATTTAACACCAGACGAAGCTGTGACTCAGACTAACTTAAATATCTCAAGACGAGTTTCACCTTTTCCTCTGAGGCCGTATCAGTTCAATTGCGTAAGTGCAAATTTATTGAAAGTGGTTTGGTGCTTAGCTTTTCTCTATTGGCAGTAATGGAGTTTAAATTTATAGCAGGCTGATGAATTTCAGATAAGAGAACCATTACCTTACAACAACATTAAGGAAAAATATATAACTCCAACTGCTGAACCTCAAATGCGTATTGTTTGAATGAGGGGAGATGGATGAGGTAGGCTGACATTTGCAAATGCAATTCCTTTCCGTCCTCGTGGTGCTAGCCCAGGAGTTTGAAAGCAGGGCATGTTCCACAAAAGGCCTGGGCGAGTTATGCGTTACAAGTGAAATTATCACAAGATAGCGGGAGAGGGATATTGATGTAGAGGTGAGGGATTTTTTCCTCCTCTTAATTAATATAATTGGTGGCATCCTTTGGCAGTGGACCAAAGCTGTCATAGGGCTTCCTTAGGCGGTTCATTTGGTGTTTGTACCGTCCTCTCACGTTATTTTCCTTTAATAGGTGGTTTTGTCTTCCCCCAGGTTGGGACTCTGGCATCGTGGAGACTAAAATGAAGGACGGCCAGCGCAAACGTGAGGTCGAACGAAAGAGCCCTGGGCTTCTCTGCATTCTTGAGGTTTCTGGTGTATGGTGTATGGGGGGTGAGGGGGATGGGGAAGGACCAAAACTGAAACAGGGTTATAAAAACTGTCATATTTTTAAATGTTTATGCCAAACCAATGAACTATTTGCAAAAAAAAATCTTTGTGCCACCCAAAAGATAAACAGTAATTGATAAAATACGGGTTATGGACAATATTTTTCCACGATGGAACACAAGTTTAGTGTTGTGTGATGAACTTTATTTTTTTTTTCCCAGTTCTTCATGCTTCTCAGCGGTTCTACAACTAACCTTGTTTGGAGATAAAGTCTTTTGTTTGTTTGTTTTTATTGAAGTATAGTTGATTTGATTTACAGTGTTTCAGGTATATAGCAAAGTGATTCAGTTATGTATTTATATATATATTTTTAATATTCTTTTCCATAATAGGTTATTACAAGATACCTGTGCGATACAGTAGTTCCTTGTTGTTTATTTTATACGTAGTAGTGTGTATCTGTTAATTCCAAATTTCTAATTTAGCCCTTTAGCCCTCCCCCTCCCTCCAGTAACCATAAGCTTGTTTTCTATGTCTGCTCTATAAGTAAGTCCATTTGTTTTGATTCCACATGTAAGTGATACATGGTATTTGTCCTTCTCAGCCTGACTGTGCTTTGTATGGAGGTCCCTGGTGCAGCTGTGGGTCTCTCAGCCTTTTTCCGTTTTCCCCCCTTTCCCCTCTGGGCTATAGCTTTCCAAAAAGTTTCATTCTTGGGCAAGTTACTTATTTTTTCTGGCTCTTATTCTCCTTGTCCATAAAATGCATATGTGTCTGTGGCAGGGATAGAGATGGAGGATTCCCAGTGCCGTATGGTCCAAGGTGAGACCCCCACATTTCCCTAGGCATCTTCCCTGCCTTCAAAGGATAGAGCCGCCTCACCTAGCCTCCAGGGAAATCCCTCTTTGAGGTGGGTTCTGTGGGTCTCTGCAGTTCATGCTGTGCAGGGAGACCAGCCACAGCCAGCCCTGAGGATGGGAAGAAATGGAGGAAAAGGATGCCATTTCTGTGAATCTCCCGACCCTCCTGAGAAGGCATGATTGACGAGGTGAGCCATGAAAACCCACCTGTGTCCCCCAGCTGCCGTGTGCATGGAGGGTGGTTCTTGGGTGGTTTGCGCTCCCTGTCCTAGGATGCTAGAGGTAGCCCAGCACTTCAAACGCAGTTAGCTTTAGGAGGGACTCCAGCTTTCTGTAAATAATACCAGAGGGATTTGTGTAGAACGAAGCATTCATTTTATAGTTATACACACTGCAAATTTGAAAGAAAAGGGGCTGAATTCAGTTGGTTGGCCATTTATTATGAAAAGAGCTGGCTATTAACTGAACTCAGCAAAGTTTGCATGAAATTAAATAGGCATACCCTTGATGTTCTGCCAGCAGTTTTCTCGGCAAACAAACAGCTTTTGCTGTGGCCCAGTAGTGGAAAGGTTGATACTGTCATTCTGGGCTAAAGCAACTGACACTGGTTCTAGGAGCCCATTAGAAAAGACTCATACTAATGTGGCCTTGATTGGAAAACTGTGTTTCAAATGCAAATTGCAGAACGGTGTCCATAGCTGCTCCAAAAACATCAGTTACAATTTTAACGTGGAGTCTTTGAGGCTCTATCAATAACCCCACGTTGTTTGCTTTTAATGTAAAGACAATGGCACACATCAAAATAATAAAAGTAACCAGAACAATCAGATTACATTTCGATTCACAAACATAATTTTGAAAGTGAGAGAAAAACGAGAAATTGTTAGTCCAATTTCCTTAGTTTACAGGTGAAGAACCAGGCCTGTAGAAATTCTTTCTGTGAGGGACAGACTCCGGTCCCATTGCCTCCTTTTACTGTCTTGGCTTAGAGAAACTGACATCATGGGGCTTCATGAATTAGGAAGGACAGATTACATTTTTAGTCCCATTTTAATTTTTCTCAAAACTCATAAAATATCATTAGAGTGCTTTTTAATTTTTTCTGAAAAGCAGGAAATCGTAAGATTGATAAATAGTTTAATGTGAACCTGATGGCTTGATTAATTAATCACCAAGCTGAGGAACCACTACAATTCATATGTCAATTCAGACTATTTTCGGGAAATGATTTGAATCAATTGCTAATGAAATTGAGAAATTTAGGAGCCGCTTTCTGACTTCCAAGTGACAGGGCTCATATTTAACTCAAGAGACGTGACAGTTAATGACAACATAAAAAGTGCCATGAATTATTTTCCAGATCATGGGAAAATTACAGCATCTCCCAGATGAAGAAGGCTGTTTATTTTCATGCTGATGAGCTGAGAGCTGTTTCATCACATGCTAAGAAATCTTCCATGCTGTTTAAAACCGAGGTTCTTTTTGAAATAAACAAAGACCATAATCCTCAGGAATAATTGTAATATTTCATAACCTCTTCCTTAATACAGAGTGATAGATGAACCTAGTCTAACTCATACTACGCCTGAAACCCAATGAAAAAAAAAAAGATGGTTATTCATTTATCTAATTACTTTAAACCCTTAAGATAGGCAGAGTTTAATTTCTCTTCCCTGCTTTAATTCATAGGCTGAGTTTTCCAATCCTGTTTATGTGTAAAAGGGCTTGCTTTGTACATCTTTCCATAACTTTTCATTTCCAGACAGACTCTTTAATTAATTTAGTTACATGTAGATATAACAAGACGCTTATTGTGTGTTAATGAAATATCAGTGGGAAAGTGCACTGATCAATGTTTGTTTAATCTAATTAAGGTGTTCACAAGGCAATATTATGTAATTAACTCAAAACAGCATAAGTAATACTTGCATGTTTAAATTTTTATTAATATATTTAAGAATTTTTAGATCATGCTGTTTTATTGGCTTACTTGAGAAATATAAAATTAAAATGTTTGTAAAGATGCTACTGGAGCAACTATTAAATGTGACTTTTAATCATCCTAACAGTCCTTGAGGTACCCGTGCAGTTCTAATAGTCTCACTAAGGGTGAAAGATGAATTTGCTACAAACAACAAGAGTCCATGCAGAAAACCTTCCTGGAGTGGTCTTCTGAATTTTTTTCTCTAAGTTCCCGTGCTGCTTTGCAAGGATGACGTATAACAGGACTGGTAAGTGTAAGACAGTTTGAAATATGTTTAATATTTTAACAACAGTCTCTCAAGAGCTACATGTTGCTGGGGAGAAAAATAAATGGAACAGGAAGTATCACTGGATTTCTTTACATATAGCTTACAGGATTGTAATAGCACAGCCTCACAATTCCTGTAGAAGTGCAACTTTGGGGGTGATTATCTCATAGAAAGACAGGCATTGACTGGTATGATTTTCACAGCTCCAAATACACAAAGTTGCAATATGGGAAAACACTTAAATGAGGCTCTTAATGCCAAATCCAGGAATCGACCATAGTATACAAATTAACACCAGTCGTGTTATGAGATGTATGTTTGTGCTGAAAGTTTTTAAGGTCATTGCTCACAGAAGTGTGCAGTGTCTTGTGGTTCCCTAAATCATGCAAGCAAGGACTAACCCAGAGAACCATTTCCTGAATCTGCCCATTTCATGTTCAGATAGATGTGATTAGGGACTCTTTGGTTGTTGTAACTACTAGACACCCAAAACACCAGGAGAATTTTTATCCAAATAAATATAAAGATTGCATCTGGAGGCATAGTAATTTTATTCCACAGGTTTCCATTGCTTCCCTCATCCTGCCACTTTATCAGGAAACAATATCCGAGTTACTGGGACAACATACTGTTCTTCACCATTCCTGGTATGTGTATCTTGCCTGAATGCTGGGATGCCATCTCTGTGTTTTTATGTCTGTGAATGATGGAGTGAGGGGTAAGTCATATCTTATGATTTCTGCATCTCCCCTATGAGTGATGGTCATCATACATTATATTTTACGTTATACCCACAACATATTTTCCTTCCTCTCTCAAGACGGGCTGCAAATGCTTTAGATGACACTTACAGAATATGAAAAATCCCTAAGAGGTGTGCTCCAGTAGGATCTTGACAAGCTTCCTCTTCCATTACAGAGATACACAGGTACATAGAGACAGACAAGGACACTAACTGCTGCCACCTCCTCCTCACCACTACATTGATATCTAGTCTGTGTATCTGTTATCTAATACTGTGCCACACAGCAGTACTTAAAACCTTACCTCACTTGGGGGAAGAGATTTCCTTCCTCTTGTAGGCCTTCTACCATTTGTATTCCACCTAAGGGGGGAAAAGAGAAAGTTAATAGGGGACAGAACTTCAAGGAAATGTACCGGGAACTGGGTACAAGAAAGATGGGGGAAGCTAACAGTTCTGAGCCCACCTGAGACAGAGCTCCACTAAGACTGAGATTTCTTCCCTCCTCTGCACTCAGCTACCCTGTCAACAAACCCTCAGTATAGCAGAGACTTGCAACAGAAAAGCTATCAACACAGACCCCTCTGAGAAGTAGTACAAAGAAAAGCCTTAAAGCTAAGAGAGGAAATAAAAATAATGATGCTAGAGGAATTTGGAGTCTCACTATCTATAGCTACAGAAAACATGAGCGACAGCCCAACACATATCCAGATTAACAAATCCTGCCCACAAAAGGTCTATTACCTCAGTAGCTCCTATTGATACAACATGTCAACCTTTAATAAAAAAATCAAAAGGCATACCAAATGGCAAGAAAAGACAGTTTGCGGAGACAAAGCAGTCATCAAAACCAATTAACAAGTAACGAATTTCAGGAATTTAAAGTAAGCATGTAATCATGGTTAATGCTTCTAATGAAAAACCACATGCACAATCAAATGGATGTCAGGGGAGTTGTGGAAATTATAACAAAATTCAACAGAAACTGTTTGTTAGAAATCAAAAACACAGACTTGACTTAAAGAAGGCTCATATGCTGACTTGACATAGTCAAGGAAAGAATTAATAAACTTGTCGATAGAGCAATAAAAACTTCCAAATTGAAGCACAAACAGAAAAAAAAAAGAGCAGACTATCAAAGAATACACAGACACAATTGTCGTACCAGAAAGAATGGGACAGAAGAAGTGTTTGAAGTAATAACCGCTGAGATGGTATCAAAATTAGTGACACCAAACCACAGGTTTCAGAAGCTCCGAGAACACTAAGCAAGATAAATAACAAAAACCACATTTAGGCATAGCATATTCAACTGTAGAAAACCAAAGACAAAGAGAAACTCCTGAAAGAAACAAACTAGAGGGAAGAAAACCTTCCCAATATAGGAACAAGGATAATACAGCAAAAGTCTCCTCAGAATTTGTGCAAGCAAAAGTAGAATGCTGTACAATGTTGCAAGTGTTGAAAGAAAATGGCCAACCTCAAATTCTATCTCCAGCAAAAGTATTTGTTAAAAGTTAAGAAGAAACAGACTTTCTTAGACAAACAAAACCAAAGAGAATGTTACCAGAAGAACAGTCCTGCAAAACTAAGAGACTTTCTTCTGACAGATGAAAATGATATAGGTCAAAAACGTGGTTCTACATGAAGAAAGGAAGAGTGCCAGAGATGGAATAAAGGTAAAAATATTTTATTATTCTTTGTTCACCCAAAAGAAATATTTTTGTTCAAAGCAATAAAGTAACCATGTATTGGGTAAACTATAGCATATGGGTAAGATAGATATTTCAGAAATTTCACAAGGGAAAGTTGAAGAAATTGGAAATACTGTTATAAGGTCCCTGCAGTATACATAAAGTGGTATAGTGTTACTTGGAAGCTGATTTAGATTGTTTTTACTCTATTGTGAACCCTAAGGAAATCACTAAAAATATAAATGATACACCAAGAGGAGACAAAAGATAAACATGCTCAATTAAGACCAAAGAAAACAAACAGGAGGTACAAAGAACAAATGTAATATGTAGAAAACAGATAAAAAGATAGCAGATTTTAATCCAACTATAGAAATAATCACTCTCGCTGTAAATGGTCTAAACACCACAATTAAAAGTTGAGACTGTCAGACCAGAGAAAGAAACATAATTATGTGCCATTTAAAAGAAAGCTACTTTAAATATAAAGACCCTGACTATAGTAAAGGAATGGTAAATAATTTAACATGCTAACATAAGTCAAAATTAAGCAGGCATAACTATATGAATTTCAAAGAAAGCAGATTTCAGAAGAGGAAAGATTATCAGGGATAAAGACTATTTATTACATAGAGAAGGAGGTGAGTTCTACAGGAACATACAAAAAATCATAAACATGTATGTACCTAACAAAAGGGCATCAAAATATATGAGACAATACATAATAGAATAGAAAGGAGAATAGTTTAGTCTCCTATTATATGTGGAGATTTCAACACAATTATCAGTAACTGATAGACTAGGCAGGCCAAAAATTAGTAAAGACAGAAATGACCTGAACAACACTACAAACCAACTTGGTCAAACTGACGTAAATACAATACACATTCTTCTCAAGCACACATGGAAGAGTCACCAAAATAGATGATACACTGGGCCATCACATACATCTTAACGGTTTTAAAAGAACAGAAATCATGCAAAGTATGGTTTCAGATTACCACAGAATTAAACTAGAACTCGGTAACAAAAGGATAGCTGGAAAAGGTCCAAACATTTGGATATTAAACAACACACTTCTAAATCATCTCTAGGTCAAATAAATTTCAAGGCAATTTAAAAATACTTTAAAATAACATCAAAATGTGCTTAGAGGGAGACGTGTAACATTAAATCTTTCTTCTTTTCTAATATATGAGCTTGAAGTTAATAACCTAAATACCCAACTAAGGAAACTACAGTAAGAAGAACACACTGAACCTAAGGCAAGCAGGGGAAAGAAATGACAAAAATTAGAGGAGAAATCAAGAAAAGTTAGGGAAACAGGAAATAAGACTAAAACAAGACTAAAATTCATTTTGAAAAGATTTTTTAAAAAAATTATAAGCCTCTAGGCAGGCTAAACCTGAAAAAGAAAAAGAGATATAAATTACAATTATCAGGAATGAGAGAAGAGGGGGTCATTACTGCTACTCTCAAGGACATTAAAAGGGTAAAAAAGAAGTACTATGAACAATTCTACACCCACAAATTTGATAACTTAGATGAAATGGACCACTGTCTTAAATTACAAAAATTACCATATCTCACTTAAGGAGAAACAGATATGAATAGTACCATAACTGTTAAAGAAACTGAGCTCATCATTTACAGTCTTCCAAAATGAAATCACTGGGTCCAGGTGATTTTACCAGTGAATTCTACCAAACTATACCAATTCTCCACAGTATTCAAAAAAATTTTTTCATGACAGGCGGGAACACATCCCAACTCATTTTAAGAAGCCAGCATTACCCTAATACAAACATCCTGTAAAGACACCACAAGAAAGGAAACTACAGGCTGGTACTTTTATCTCAAAAACAGACAAAAGACTTAACAAAATATGAATAAATTGACTCCAGCATCATATCTATTCAGAGGAGTTCATTCCAGGCAGTCAAAGATAATTTGGTATCACAAATCAGTGTGATTCACTGTTAACAGACTGAATAAGAAAAGTCATATTCTCATATCAACAGATGTAGAAGTTTAATAAAAATCCTAAATGGGTATTGAATTTTAAAAACTAGAATAAAGGGAATTTCCTTAACCAGTAAAAGCCTATATTAGAGAACCTCTATAGCTAACAGTGTAAGACCTTCCTCCTGAGTTTTGGAACAAAACAAAGATACCCTCTTTTACTACATATATTCAACATTATAATGCAAATCCTAGCTAGTTCAATAAGAAAATAATAAAAGTTATACAGCTTGAAAAGGAAGAAATAAAGCTGTCTTTATTTCTGGATGTGTATGTAGAAAAACTCAATGATTCTATAAAAAAACAAACTCTTGGAATTAGTGAGTATACCACGGTTATATGACACGATCAGTATGCAAAAATCAATTACTTTACTATATATAAGCAAACACTTGGAATTTTAAATAATTTAGTACCATGTACAATAGCACCTAAAAAGGAAATACTTAGCTATACATTTTTAAATGTAGGGGATCTATATGTAGAAAACTATGAAACACTGATAAATCAAAAAAGATGCAAATAAAAGAAGAGATATTCAACATTCATGCATTAGAAGTCTCAAAATTGTTAAGATGTCAGTTCTTCCCAACTTGTTCTACAGAGTTAATGCAACCCCAAAGTCCCAGCAAGCTTTTTTTTTATAATTAATTCTAAAATGTATATAGAAAAGCCAAAGACCTAGAATAGCTACCTAATGAATCAAAAAGAACGAAGTTTCAAGGCATAATATGTCTTACTCTTCTGTTAGAAACTATGGTTTTGTTGAAAGAATAAACACAGACATCAGTGGAAAACAACAGAGATATATAAACATAGTTACTTGACTTTTGGCAAAGATGCAAAGGCAATTCAACAGAGAAAAAATAGTCTTTCTAGTGAACAGTACTGAAACAGCTAGACACCTGTCTCTACATACAGACACAGGCTTCACAACTTAAACAAAAATTAACTAAAAGTGAATACAGACCTAAATGTTAAATGCAAAACCATAAAACTTCTAGAAGGAAACCTGTATGATATTTATTTGATTTTCCTATCTAAAAGGTCATAACCAAAAAATGATCCACAAAAGGAAAAACATGGCCCCATTAGATATTATTAAAGTTAAAACCTTGCTCTTCGAAATACACTGTTAAGAGAATGTAAAGCCACAGACTGTTAGAAAATATTTGCAAATCAAGCATCTGATGAAGGACTTATATCTGGAATGTACAAAGAATTCTTAAAACTCAGCAATAAGAAAACAACCAACCAAAAAAAATTTTAAGGCAAAATATCAAACACATCAGCACAGGGGATATACAAATGGCAAAGCATATGAAATGACGTTCAACATCATATCTCATGAGGGAAATGCAAATTAAAACAAAAATAAAAAACACTTTTAAAACAACAATGAGACATTACTACACACCTCTCAGGACAGCTAAAACAGAAAACAAAGACCAAAGCCTGACAACTAAATTTGGTGGTAAGAATGTGGAACTACAGAAACACTCATTCATACCTGATGGGAATGCGAAATGGTGCAGTATTTCAGAAACAACTTGGAAGGTTTGTTTTTGTTTTTTAGATTAATTATATTTGAATTGTGGTAAAATATACATAACATAAAATGTACCAGTTTAACCATTTTAGGTATATAGTTCAGTGGCATTAACTGAGGACATTTACATTATTGTGGAACCATCACCATCAGTCATCTCCAGAACTTTTTTCATCTTCCCAAACTGAAACTCTGTATCCATTAAAAATTAACTCCCCATTTCTCCTTCCCTCGAACACCATTCTCCGATAAAAGGAACTAGGGCTGAGGGAAGGACAGACAGGATGAGCCTGGAGCATCTGGTAGTGTCAGAGGGACACAGGAGCCAACTGAAAGCACTCCCAATGGCCAAAACTGAAACTTTGAATAACAAAATAAATAACATATATTAAAATGTAACACAAAGTATAAATCTAAAACATAAATATCTGAGTCTGTAGTGATGTAAATAAATAATTAAAATAATTAATAAGATTAGGCAAATCTCCCATCCAGAATTCAAAACAATATATGTAGTTCCTCTCTCATCCATTAGGTGGATCATAATTCCTCACTCCCTTAATTGTGGGAAGGACTGACTTCCCTCTAAATAATACAGTATGGAAAAGGGGAAGAAGTGACTTTACAGTGGAGAAACTTGACAAACACTACCTCAGCCATATGATCACACTTAACATCTTCAGAGAGAAATCATACAGCTGGCATGTGCACTGAACACAATGTGGTAAGACTAGCACTTTGTAAACACTGTGGTCTTCCAAGAACCTGCAAGCCCAGTTTAATCATGAGGAAAAAAAATCAGACAAACCCAAACTGAGAAACATGCTACTCAATACGCAAGCAAGTATTCCTCTAAAGTGTCACAGTCATCAAACATAAGAAATATTTGAGAACTTGTCATAGTCTAAAGAGCCCTAAGGGAGTCATCCTGGCCAAAGGTAATGTTCTATTCTAGATGGACCCTGGAACAGAAAAAAGACATTAGGTAAAAACTAAGAAAATCTGAATAAAGTCTGGACTTCAGTTAGCAATAATGTGTCAATATTAGTTACACAGTTTTGACAAGTACACTAGTGTAAGATGACTGCTCAGTTCTGCTCTAGAATATGAATGGTTATGGTTATAAACATGATACACTGACACTCAGCCCCTATACTCAACCCCTCAGAAGTTTAATAAATGCAGTATATGATCTCTTCTTTCCTTCACAATCTCATTTCTCATTTCCTCATAGGCCAATCCTCAAACCCAGGACCATTCAAGCACACCGCAAACCCAGAGTCATTTGCACAGTGACCCAGGTCAGCTGAGCTATTGGTTTCCATACAAGTTTTCCTTCTGTAGACCTTTGTGAAAGCCTGAGCATCAAGCTTTGTGAAATGGCTCTGATTCTTCACTATCCCTTTATCTTGCTCAATGAAGGAGATGCCATCTTGAAGCTGATTCTGGAATCCGTTTCAAAAATAAGGGAAGAGAGAGAGAAAAAAATAACTCTAAGCAAAATGTCTCTGAGGTTTCTTCATTCCCGAGAGTATTTTTATCATATGAAGGAATCAGGCTTACTGCAGTTGGAAAAAGCCATGAATAAGATCCCTGGACAAGATGTAGAGATCAAGCCCCACAGAGATTAAATGACTTGCCCAAGGTCATAATATGTTCATCTCAGAGAAGAAAGAATACATTTTTTCTAAACTAGCATGCTTCTCACACTTTAGTCTTTTACACCCTTGGCAAATTTAACCTTTTCCACACAGCTGCTGAGATAACCTACTGGTTTCACAAGCTAAATCAACACAAGGGACATATCTCAAAAGTGCCCCCAGACTGCCTCCCTTTCCATTATTGAAAACCACGAGATGAAAGTCTTTAATAACTCACTGCACAAGAGGACCATTACTGTCAGCATATACCACTCAGCCATATATTATAGCTTCTTACTTCTCCACACAAAATTGCTTTGAAATTTACATTTGCTATAAAGGATTCAAGTCCATCACTATTAATTTTCTTCTACAAATTATGTTTAATTATCACCTGTTTCCACCTACAAAGAAGCCCCTCTCATACTTCTGCCTCCATATAGCTCTCAAGAAGAGTTTCCTCAGCATGAATCTTTGATGGTGATTTTATATCCCTTACTTGCCCTTCCTTGTCAAGCTCACACAGCCTACTTAGCGATATGGAAATGAACGGTTTGCCTTGCACCGCATTTCCTGCATACATATGAAATCTGGTCTCCCTAAGCAGGAGGAAAAAAGGAACATTTTCCAGCTTTAGCCTGCAGACAGTTAGGCTAGAAACATTCTATTTTGAGATTCAAAGCAGCTTGGAAAAGTCCATCCAGAACTGATGGCTTAACAGGTTATAGAGTACATCTCCTAAGAAACGTACTCGGCTATCTTCCTGATGTTTCAAGAATCACCTTTATTCTCTCCTTCAGTTTTGGAGCCCTAGAAGAAACTAGTTTATCAGAAATAGAGAGAAATCTAAAAATTGTATTTTATTACTTTTCCATTTCACTTCTATGCGTCCTTAGTACATGGTACCATATAAGCAGCATGGTCTTCGAGTCAGAAATACTAGCAGTCAAATCATAACTCTACCAAAAACTTATGTAACTTCAGGCAAATCACTTATCTCTGAGCCCCTGTTCTCTCAACCTTAAACATAAAGCTATTTTAAGTTTAATCAAGATTAGTGTGTATTATGCTTGGCACATTCAAGGAATTCAAATGTTCATTGTCTTCCCCTTCCAGATTCAGTGAAGCAGTATATTTGTCTATAATCCTGTCTGCAACTGACTGAAACTCAACTCAAACTAGCTCAAGCTTAAAAGGAATTTGCTGGCTCACATAACTAGGCAGTCCTGGCATGTCTGGGGCTTTAGAAATAGCTGGATCAAGCTTCCCCAACAATGCTGCCATGACTCTTGACTCTTCATCTCTGCTTGGAGTTGCTCTCAACATAAGCACTGACCAAATGACTGGCAAAAGAGCCAGTATAAGTTACAGATCGTCAGCCTCCTCTCTTAGCAGACCCTCCATGAAGAAAACTGTCTCCTACTATTCACATATCAAGTTCAGGGAAGATTCTAATTGGCCTTGCTTGGATCATGCACCAACCTCTAACCCAATCCCTGTGACCACGGGGAAGAGACTGTTCAGTTTGGCCAGACTGGGTAAGGACCTACTATTGTGGCAGAGAACGAAGTACCGTGATTTAGTCTTAGGATTAAATGGAGTGAAGGATCCCGAAGAAACTAGGACAAGGACTATTGAAAATAATACTGAGAATAAATTAGGAGTTTGGGAGTAACGGATACACATTACTATATATATAAAACAGATAAACAACAAGGACCTACTGTATAGCACAGGGAACTATATTCAATTTCTTTTAATAACATAAAGGAAAAGAATCTGAAAATATGTATGTATGTGTATGTATAACTGAATCACTTTGCTGTACACCTGAAACTAACATTATACATCAACTATATCTCATTAAAAAATAAAATAAAAAAATAAAAAATACTGAGAGAAAAATTAAAAATAAATAAAAACTACAGTTTCCACTGTGCGTCGTTGTCAATAAGTATTTGGCTTCTTTACTCATAGCCTGATCTTTTTCACTCTAGATTGTCTTGTTTAGGGATCTGTAGTCAGTCAGGAGTCAGAAAACTATAACCCAGAGACCAAACGTCCCACTGCTTGTTTAATAAATAAAGTTTTGTTGAAACACAACCACGTTCATTCCTTAACATACTGCCCATGGTGGTTTTCACACCACAACATCAGAGTTGAGTAGCTGCAACAAGAGTTTACAGAGACCACAAAGCCGAAAATACTTAATATCTGGCTCTTTTCAGAAAGCCTTTGCCGACCCTTGATCTATGTTACAATAACGAAGATAATGAGAGGTAGGGGGGGAAATGCTTACTTAGAATATTTGCTTGAAATAAAATAGAAATATTGATGACAATTATATTTTTATGTAACTTGCATCCACAATCTGTTAGTAATAAAAGTACTTTAGAAGTTAGAAAAATATATCTTGCCCCAAAAAAAGTATCCTCCACACAGTAGATGCTCAGTACGTATTTCTAATATATATCTACCAGCACAACCACCCACTAAATGCACTCAAGCTCCCAAATGATGCGCTGTACTTGAAGCAGCCTTTTCCCTCACACTCGACTTCGTCTGTAACTTCAGATCCTCTTAGCTCTGCCTTCACAATACATCCCAAATGCTTCTGCTTCTTTTCATCTTTCAGATTCCTCCCTAGTGCAAGCCAACACCATTTCTTGTCTAAACTAATGCATTCATTTTCTAACGGTCTCCCTGCTTCTATTCTTACTCATCAGCACTCCATAATCCTTTCCAACAGCCAAGAGAGACCATTTTAAGACCAAATCAGGTAAGATTGCTTCCCTCCCTAAAACTCTCTGATGGCTTCCTTCTTTGCTTAGACTGAAACCCAACCTCTTGTTGTTGGACTGCAAGTCACTCCGTGAACTGATCCTTGCTTACCTCTTAGCCTCAACCAGATTCACTCTAGCCCCTTCACTCCACCCCAACTATGAAGGATATCTTTGGTGCCTAGAGTATACCATGCTCATTCCCTCTGTAGAACTTTTTCCCTCCTTCCATCTGCCTAGGAATGTCTGCTCCCATCCCCACATGGCTGGCTGATTTTGCTTAGTAATTCAGGAATCAATCCAAAGGTCCCTCTTCATTGGAATAAAAGATATTTTCCCATCACTTTTATTGAATATATTATGTTGTGGTATTAAAAGTGACGTTCTATTTCCTACCTGGTTACTACATACATTATGAGATTTACATTATGTGTAAATAGAAATTAATTGACATCCATAACCTAATTGTTTATGATGTCATCATCACATGTTAATAGATTGACTTTCTAATGTGGTTTCGATGACAACTGGAGTGATATGAACACAATGACACATGCTAGGTGAATGACTCTTGTGTAGCAACATAACATTCATGTATTTCTAATTTTCACAGAGTTTGACTAATTGTTTCAAAATTAGCTCCAGCTCATTTACAAGTTTTGTGAGCTTGTTGAAGTTAATTATTGGCTAAAACAGACTGGACACTGATGTGTACTATGAAAATAAGACTCTATACTCTGTTTAGATAATTCAAGGAAGCTGTATATTTTGACCCAGGAGCTTTTGATTTCAGGTAACTGACAAAAAATACCATCATTGCCATCATCATCATCATCATCACGATCAAAGCATCTTTTAAAAGGTTGTGAGACATGAGGCATTGACTGATTTTCTGTTGTAGGACACACCGAGTTTTAACTGACCCTGAATATGACCTTGGTCCAACAGGATGTTAACACTACATAAAAAAGCTTTATTGCACTATGACTGACCTCTGCTGGTTCATAGTATTCTGAATAGCCAGAGGTGGAAATGAATATATTAATGCAGGTTAAAAATACTTAAATCCATACCCTTTGGATACAATTCTTCAGCCAAGTACTAGCCACCTAACTAATTCTCTACAATATTTTGAGGACTTGGTCAAATGCCACTAAAAAAATCCAGGAACAATATCAAAAACAGGAAATGGGGTTTGTCTGTCATGACTTTTTCTTAAGGACTCCAGCATAGGTCCTGGTGGGAACTGCTTTTGCTCCTCAGTTCCCATAAAACAGCTTGTAATTTAGATCAGGAGTATCTCAGATGTGCAGTTTGTCGTGACTTTCCTTTTTAGAAAAACAAATGCTGTCTCTCTCTTATCACCCAGCACTTCTCTTAATGTGAGGGATCTTATTTGGAAGCAGTCTTCATGCCTCAGGATATAAGGCCAGCCCTTAAGGAGCTAGGCACTCGGGCAGAACCATACTTCACTTCCTACAATCTTGCTAACCACCTAGGGTCCTAGTTGCCACACCCTCAGTACCACAGATTTCAGTACAAAAATTTTTTTTCCTTTGACCAAAAAAACCAAAAGAAAATGTGTTTATTTTGCACATTATATGCACCGTTGTGATAAAGAGTCAAAGAAAGAGCTTTAGACATTGAGGGAAAAAACCCCAGCCTTGTCACTACGCAGAATTTCTAGCATTTTGCCCACCCCAAAGTCTCATCAGATGCCTGCTTCTATGACATGAGCTAGGACCTCCATGTCTGCCACTCACTGATTAACTGCAGACAGAGCTTTAATGGTAGATATCCCATGAGCTTGAGCCATCTGTGTGTTTTTTATAAATATGTGACCAATTCTGGGCGAAGAAGAGGAGAATGCCTCAACAGATAT